TAAAAAATCATTAATCAGACTAGTACCACCTTGGGAATTGATCAGTTTGTCATATTTTAAAAGCAAAATAAGTAAATGAATGTACCATGATGATGCTAGGTTCTCTTACCCATATATACATTCTGTTAGTTTCCTAGGAGACATTTTCAACTGGAGGGTGTTGACCTTTTAACAAAGAAAGCCAAAGAGTATAAACAGAAAGTGCCTCCACAAGCGTATATTTTGTTTTTAGAAGAATCATGGCCAAGTATGTTTTGGAGGAACAAGTAGCATAACATCTCTGTACAACTTGCAGGTATGTCCAACCTTTTGGCTTCTCTGCACCACACGGGAAGAATAAGAGTTGTCTTGGGCCACATATTAAACACTAATGAAAGCTGATGAACAACAACAAAAAGGGTCTGTGCACAGATAAGCAAACGAGTCCTTACATAATCCACATGCAGAACATGTGGAACATGGGTTGGATACCCCTGCAGGAAAAGTCATTGGAAAATCCTGAAATGTATTTTCACCTAGAAATGCTGGACTTTTGGGGAAGAAGGTCTGCAGCACCATTAAATTGTTTTTAAAAGTCGTGCATAGGTGCTAAAAGAAATTAGACTGTAAGAAAAGAAAAAAAATGGGAATGTTAATCCAATTCGATTCCGTAAACACTGAGTAAATACTATGTATAGAGCTCTGTTCAAGTTCTCAGAATTAAAGAAAGCACCATTTCTTGCCCCCAAAGAGTTAATAAATATGTTAACTATAATTTGAAATAGTGATGGTATGTTTGTTATCAAGTTAAATATACTGTGTTCCATGAAATCTGTCATGAGTAGTACAATCTTAGAAGACTTCAGTCTGTGTTATTCTTAAACAAATTTGGCTTTTCTGTAATTATACTAAAACCCTAAGATTATTCCATGGTGATATTACTACATCAGTTTTAAAGTGTCTTGATTGATGAACATCATAAATTAAGTGAAGTATACATCTATAGAAGGTCCAGTTGCATTTAATTCATTCTATGGTACATAGAATGGAGGGTGGTATAATACATAATACAAGATGGTATACTTGTAGGTACATAGTACAAGATAGTATACTCCTATACTTCTCAGATAAGTAGCTTTTTATAGTTGTAAACTCTTTTGCTTATTTGATGTCACCTGAGGTTCACAGCAGCTTTCTGAGTTAGGAAAATTAACCACTTTTAAAGATGCAGAAACGGAGGTCCAATGAAAGTATTAATTGATGAGCAGTATGGGTGCTATGGTCTGAATGTTTGTGTCCTACCAAAATTCATATGTTGAACAGAATCACTAATGTGATTAGGAGGTGGGACCTTTGGAAGGAGATTAGGTCTGAAGGTGAAGCCTTTATTAATGGAATTAGTGCTCTTATACAAGGCCCAGAGACCTGCCTTGTCCCTTCCACCATGTGAAGACACAGCTAGACGGTGCCATCTGTGAAGTAGAGAGTGAGCCCTCCCCCACACAGTGAAGTCCAGAATCCGCTGGCATTTTGATCTTGGAATTCCCAGCCTCCAGAAATGTGAGAAATAAATTGTTACTGTTTATAAGACACCCAGGCTATGGTATTTCCTTATAGCAGCTCAAACAAAGACAATAGGCCTTTGATTTAGGTGCCAGTTCTGCTATCCAGTGGCTTTGTCATTTTGAGCAAGTTATTTCAGCACAATATACCTCAGTTCCCTTATATCAAAAAGTCAGGCTAATAATAATGGTACAAATATTAAAAGTCATAGTAAGAAAGAAATTACTCAGATCTTTTCTGGATCAAAGGGCATCCAAATGCACATGGGGCACCCACCATTCACATATTATAGTTCAATACAATGCTTGAGTTTCCTGGAGTTGTGTAACAGGGTAGTACTATAAAATAAAAGGAAGTTTTAAAACAAAATTACACCTATTAATCATTTTACAAGCACCTTAATGTTTATAGAATAAATAAACGATTCCAAACAGATAAATTTTTCTTCTAATACCCTGTGGAAATTGGTGTCCTACGCTTATGAAATTGGAGAGCCAATAAGGACATCACAGTACATCTGGTGCAATCTCACTTTATAAATGAGAAAACCAAGTGTTAGCAAAGACATAGTTTTCCAAATTCCAACACTTGGTCCCTCCAGAATTAGAGAACCTATCATTCCTAGGTTCTCTGCACTCAGTATCATTCTGATTGGAGGAGGGGATAGGACAGGGGTGCACTTTGGGCAGGTCTGGTGAGAAGCCACCATGAGGTGGCTAAAAACCAAAAGCTCTACAAGGTCACAGAAGAGAAAGACAAATGTAGCTTTAAAGGAGTCTTTTAACAAAGTAATCCAAGAGTATGAACATCACATACTTCTGTAGGAGTGTAATTTATTTCTAAAAGAATCTATTTCAGGGTTTATGCTGAAGACACAGTGTGGAGGAAATTCACTCCTCTCTCCTGTCTCCTGGGTATCTTGTTTCTAGGATCCAGAGGAGGACCACTAGTCACTAGATGTATTCAGAAATCTGGAGGCTCCTGCAGGCTTTTCAGGGCAGTTGTGGGAGCTGCCATTGATGACATTGTTTTCATGAGAAGACTAATTACAGAAACAAAACAACCAAATTTTAATGCAATATTGGAATAAGTAGTGACTGGAGAGTAGTGTGCTTTTTGTCCTCTGAAAATACTTTTAAACTCAATGGGCTAAAAGCGAAAGAAAAAAACAAAAACAAATAAAAAACCCCCCAAATCGCCTATAAAACCCAAACCCAAAACACTCCAGAAAACTTAAGTACCAGAAACAGTACAGTAGGAACATGGATTCTAAAAGCCTTCTGGGAAAGAAAATGTACATTCCCCACTCCTACCCTATCCTGTTCTTTCTTCCTTCTTTTTTTCTTTACAGACCTGATAGGTAGTGTTTAGATCTGAAGATGGAATGATCATGACGTTTTTTGCTACCCATCCTCAGAAATCTGAATTATAATGAAAATATCAGAGAGGACATATTGAAAGAACAATTTTGCATCAGAGGAACCTCTATACAATGATTTCCCACAGCAGAGCTGACTTCAATGTGTACTTTTGTTCTGTTAGACCTCTAGGGCTATTCTGTATAATGGAAAATGGTCTTTTGTGTTGACACTAGAATTTTTTTCGTGCAACACTAAGTACCGCTCTTACAGCTTATGTGAGAATTTACTATTTTCTAAAATCCCCTACTATCAATGTTGTTCTAAATGTATCTCTATTAGTTTGAAGTCAAAATAAAGAGTGAAGTACATTACTGGTATCCTGTCAGCTACGTTTTTGTTTGTTTGTTTGCTTGCTTTGTAGATTTTTCTGAAAGAGCTAAATTTGACATGAACCCTGAGGTTTTCCAACTGGAACCCGACAGGAAGCTTGCTGGGTATAGTGGGAGGCAGTAACGCAGTGATAAAGCACCAACAGTTGATTGGCTTGGCAGCTCCAAACTTGTTTCTGCAACTTAAGCTGTGTGACCTTGTACAAGTTACTTCACTTCTCCTGACTCAGTTTCCTTAACTGTAAAGTAGAAGTAATGACAAGGTTGTGGTGAGTATGAAGTGAGGAGTCCACACAACACCTACAGTAGTATGGTGCCTACAGGCAGTAAGAACTCAATTCAAAGCTTAGTATTACTGGTAGTTTAGGATAAATTTTCAACAAGGGTGTACTTTGCTCCCATTTGTTCATGTGTTACTGGGCCATCAGAAACGCCTCTGGGTTCAATCACCTGGACAGAATGAAATGACAACTTCCTCTGGGTTAGAACAAGAAAGGCACAGGTGATATGCCACTGAGGCCCCTGGCCACTACCTCCTTACCCCAGGGAGAAAGTCAACAGGAGATGCTGTGAGGGCAAAATTACTTACATAATTGCTTCTGCTTTATAGCCATAGATACAAAGAACTTCCAGTTATCTTTTAAAACCATGATTAATTTTAGCAAGATGACATAAATTACAGATGACTTGGTACAAAGCCAGGCATAGTCATAGAGCCATGTGAAGTTGACAGGGGATCCTAGCTCTCTGGGAGGCTGAGGCAGGGGTGGGGTTGGGGTGGGGGGGGGACTGCCTGAGCTCACAGGTTCCAGACCAGCCTGAGCAAGAGAGAGACCCCCGCTCTCTAAAAATAGCCGGGCGTTGTGGCTGGCGCCTGTACTTCCAGGTGCTCTGGAGGCTGAGGCAAGAGAATCGCTTAAATCCTGGAGTTTGAGGTTGCTCTGAGCTATGACGCCAGAGTACTTTACTGAGGGCAACAAAGTGAGACTCTATTTCAAAAGAAAAGAAATTGATGGGGGAACCTGGACTGCCAGCTCCCTAAACTTGCGTAGTTCACTTTCCAGTCCTAGGCCTCAGTTTCCCCATTCATAAAGGAATCAAGGAACAGACTGTATCCGAACACTTTCCCAAATCCAGTCCCCAACAACAAGAAGAAGGCATTTTTCTCCCTCCCCACAGAGGAAAAAAAAAAAAAAAAAAAGTGGGACGTCCAGGCAAGAACACCACAGACCCCTAGATAACCCGGAGGCACACAGCACCCACCACGTGTCCGCTCAGCGCGTCGGGGGCGGGCGCGAGAGCAGGAGCGCCCCGCCCCAGAGCGTGCTCACACCGCCCCGCCCCGCCCCGCCCCGCCCAGGCGGCTCGCGCCCGCGCGCAACAGGCCGTGCTGGGTGAGTGGCGCGATCTCGCCGGCTTCTCGGCGCCACTGTACCCGGGTTAGTGCGGGATCCGGCGGGGCGCGCACGACGCTGCTGCGGTCCCAAGGCAGGGGTGTCGATCTGGGGGACTTTGGGGCCCCACGGGGAGTCTTGGTGGCGGGAGCGGTAGTTGTAGGGCCGGGGACGCGCGCCCATCAGGTCCCTGAAGACGGAGGCCATTGCCCCCCACGGCCCTGATCAAGGGATCGCTAATGTCTACAGTACCGAGAGTAGAGCACGCGCTCTTCCAGTGGGCCCGAGACGCGGGACGAGCGCGGAAAGTTTGAAGCTTGGCAGGGAGGGCGGTGCCGGCAGCCCCCACGTGTGCTGTGCCGCCGGCGCGTCGGTCCGGCCTAAGAGACACGCTTTGCAGCCAGCTGCATCTTTCTTTCCTTTTTTTTCTGACTTTAAAATTACAGCCTACGCTTCCAATTCATTTATCAACATACAGTTCTGCAGCTGCTGCCCAACAGGTTAGTAAGACCAGGTTAATCACTGTTTTCAGGAAGGCTAGGCCTGGGAGGATTTGATTTCATCACTTAATCAGTTGTAAATTCAGGGCCAGGAGTTTCATTTCACTGGGACCATCTTTGGAGGAACCTGGTTTATCTAGCTTTTGCCATCATCACTTGTTTTTTGCCCCTTGGGCCTCATCCTTTGCAACCTCATGGTCACCCAAATACATCGAAATACAATTCATTTTCTCTCTAAAATAAAATCAAAGCAGTAACTGCCAATCACAGCTTTAGGTCACCAGAAGAACCACTTATCTCTAGGTTGATAATGTCTGTGAGCGTGAAAGAAACGTTGTAGGTCAGCAGCACTTGGCACCCTGGTAATAGATAATTTCTGACAGGTACATGGGTGTTTAAATGAGCTGATTTTGACTATTGTCCTCTGGTAGTAGATCTAAAATTCATCAGGAGAGATCATTACTTGGATTTCTGGGCTCCAGCCATCGGAGGTGGCAATGCCGTGGGCCTGAAACACAGAGCGCAGCAGTTTACCTGGTAACAAGTACTGCCGGTGACTCTGGAGTACACTCTGCTCCTAGGATGTAAAGACACCTCATTCCACACGTTGGTGATAACTATGGATGTATATAGAAAGGTGCTTTTTAGCTCTTACAGTTGAATATCCAAGTGACAGCTGCCATCAGAAAAATATTTTCCCCCAACTCTATTTTGTGTAAGGTTTTTGTCTAAAATTCTATACAGACAAAAGATGAAAAAGTGAAACAAAACTCAGCAAACATTTCTTGAGATCTACGATGCACACTTGGCTAGACTCTGACAATGTATAGGTCTCTTCAAGAAGATGTATTAATGTCTTCATGTCATTAATTATTACTATAGAGGAGGAGGTTAGGACACCTTAAAAATACAATGACTGTATTTCTTGGCTATAATAGTTGCATCAGTATTGATTTTCTTGTAGGAGTTATCTGTGGGGAAGTTACCAAAATATGAACCGTGAATCTTTTCTTTTGACTTAATCGTTTTACATTTTAATGCTTATAGTCAATTCAATTTGAAAGGAATTGCTTTTCAAAAATCTTTTTATGTAGCTTTGTAGGAATTACTCTAATATCTGTTTGGGTGGTTTGTGAGGTTTATAGGCAGGCTTTTGTTGGCTTTACTATTCTAGACAAAGCATTCTCTTATTTAATTACTGTATTCTTGGGTTTAAAACATTCTTTTGTACTATTACTGTTTCTGAAATTATAATGTACCTTACGATTTTTGTATGTGTAATGTGGTAGGATATGTCATCTATTCGCCCCACCATCCTCCAAAAGCTTTTAAAAGGAATGGTGGTTTTACAATGTAAATAATGTAAAAATCAGAGAAATGGCTTTTTGTCCCACACAGTTAGTGGACTGATCCAAGCTGCTATGTAGTGGGTTTTAGGCTGGAGTTGGCCTGCAGCACCAAGAGCCCAACTCCAGCCGACCTTGGGGTCTGGGAGTTTGTCTGTGGAGGTCTCCAGCATCTGTGGAAGTGCAGAGACCTCAGTTCTAAGCCCGGGTTCAAAACTATAGGCACAGGCCATTGAAGCTGGGATGCTCTGTTTCTGGTATTTCAACTGACTTATACCAACTATCTATATAGTTACAATAAGAAAGTGCTCTAGGCTTGGCACCTGTGGCTCAAGTGGCTAAGGCACCAGCCACATACACCTAAGGTGGCAGGTTCAAATCCAGCCCGGGCCCACGAAACAACAATGATGGCTGCAACCAAAAAATAGCCGGGCGTTGTGGCAGGTGGTCCCAGCTACTTAGGAGGCGGAGGCAGGAGACTTGCTTGAGCCCAGGAGTTGGAGGTTGCTGTGAGCTGTGATGCCACAGCACTCTACCCAGGGGGACAGCTTGAGGCTCTGTCTCAAAAAAAAAAAAAACCAACAACAATAAAAAAGAAAGTGCCTCTAGCAATAAGGTCAAATATGAGGATGCCAAAAAAAGTATACATATTTTAAGTGATGTTAGCTATGTAGTATCTATACCTTCTCAAAGTTGAATGTGATTATGGTGGCAATGTGTAGTTATGACGTTTGCTTAAAAGATGATGTTAATTAAATGATTGTTAGTGTCCAACACCAAGCGACAGGCAGGACAGTCAAAGAAAATGGCAGAGTCATGGTTGTTGTTGGAGGAGCGCAGGACCATTTTGAAGTGGTATTTGAAATTCGAGAACATTGTGGAGGCCGGCCTGAGTATGCAACAGACCCTCCAACATGCCTAACATTTACAGGCATTCGTGAGAAGTTTGAGATGCATGGTACTGTGTGTTACAGGGGGAGATCTGAAAGCCTTGAAGAGCAACAAGCCCTACTGTTTCACTGATGATACTGGAACAGTTCCCAAGCTCACCACAGACATCTACCAAATAGTGTGCACCTGACACCAGATATTAGCAGAACAAGCTTATGACATGTTCTTAAAACAGCAAAGTGGGAAATTTTCGTCTAGAGATTATTACATTCACTGCATGAAGATGACCCTGATTGAAGGGTGCAATATTGTGAGTGGTTCCAAAACATGGAGCAAGTGGATGAGGACTTTGTGGGGAAAATGCTTTGGTCTGATGAAGTACAGTTTAAGTTGAACAGAACAGTGAACTAACATAATTATGTATACTGGGGTCTAGAAAATCCATGTGTGGAAAAATATGTCTGTTTTCTGGGCTTCAATGTCTGGTGTGGACTGTCGTTAAGGGACTAATTAGACCATTCCTTTTTGAAGGTCTTGTTACTGGCCAAGTGTAGACAGATTGCTATGCACATGCATTTTACCTGAAATTCATACACTTTTGGGGGATGATCCATTTGACTTCCAACAAGATGGTGCCCCACTACACTTCCACACCAACATGAGAGCTTACCTTGATGTGAACGTGCCAGGACAATGGATAGGACAGAGAGGTGGGGTTGAGTTTCCCCCATGGCCTCCTGATTTAACTCCCCCAGACTTCTACCAATGAGGGACTTTACAGGATGCAGTTTACCACAGAAAACCAGTTACACTGGAAGGAAGAAATTGAAAGGGCATGTGTGGTAATACAAGCAGGCACTGGTCAACCTTGCTCAGTCAGTAGTTCTCCATAATTAGAATTGTCTAGATGTTAATGGTAACCACTTTGAGCACCTCTTGTAATTGCAGAAGTCAAATGTGACTTGTATTTATCTATTGTGGTCAGTATTTTCAGTATTATAATTTTAGTAGTTTTTGCTTTTCTTAAAATGTGTATACTTTTTTTGGCACCCTCTGTATTTTTACTAACTTATAGCAACCATGTGTCCATGCACTGCCACAGGAGTTAAAGCAGAGAGACAGTGCTGATGGTGACAGGGCAAGGTAACAGATGCTTCATGCTCATCTTTTCATTTAATTCTCACACATTTGGTATATTCTGTTCTCCCATTTCACAGATGAAGAAATGAGTTAGGTAGGTAGTACCTCCAGTTCCATCATGTATGAGTAGCTCTGAAGAAGGAGCCTTGTGTATAACTTAGGCAAGGCAACTTTTGGAAAGTCATCTATCTATTGAGATTTGATGTCCTGGTGTAATTGGCTAGTTCAGGAAAGGGCCACAATAGAGCTGGTAAGAAGATAAATTCTTAATAGTAGTTATTTGCCTTGAACTGAGAGAAGGTTCTCAAAAATTGGGTGCAAAAGGAAGCATCTGTCAATGTATTAGGTGTTTTTGGCATATGTACCATAATGAGGTGTAAAAGGGAACTTAATATGGAAGTTTGAGAGGTGATAGGGAAAGTTTTCACATGGGAGGAAATGTAGTATTCTAGGCAGATGCATGGAGCCTGTACATGCTAGAACAAGTTCATTCCTATTAACCAGTCCACATGTCTAGCAGTTGAGATCTTCATGTTAGTGTGTATGTCAGTTAAAAGTAACTCATTTTCTGGAATCTTTAAATATTTAAATACATTTAGTATTCAAAAAAAATCAGAGAAATAGTATATTTGTCCAGTAACCTCTAAGGTAGCTTGCATTTAACTTAGCCTGAAATCATTTCAGCATGAACATAGAGAAATAATAAATGATGTAACTTCTGGCAGCGTAAGTAGTGAAATTTATATCCTAACAAAAGCACCTATGTAGTGTTGAGGTTAATTTTGTTAGTGATTGTGGATGGGAAAAATTCCTTAAGTGATTTCATTTTGGCTTAAGTATTTTGTACACTGTTTAGCCCCACTTACTGGTGAATTTGCTTACACAGTATTCATATATTATGCTTAAAACAAGCCTTTCACTTGCATTTCATGCTCACTCCCCTTAAATAAATTTTAGACTGATCAGTTGTGAGAGATAAAAGATGTATAGCTGAACATAAAATTTCTTTATTGGGTAACCTTTAGTGATACAAATCTAATAAACTAACAGTTTTTAAAAATTAAATGTGAGCAATGCTTCAGGTTCCCAAGACCATCCTTAACTGAGTAATTTGCTAGGAGGACTCTGGGCTGATTTCCTGTATCGAACGGATACCAGGCACAAGCAGCAAAGGGGAGAGGCACATGGGGTGTCCTGGGGAGACCAAGCACAAGGTTCCCAGCATCTTCTACCTAGTGGAGTCAGTTGCACCAACAGTTAGTTGTGTCAAGGCCTGTGAAATGTTGCCAACCAGGGAAGCTCATTATAGACTCTGTTCCCTGGGGGTTTTATTGGGGGCTGATCATGTAGGCAGCCTCTGCCTGGCACAGACCCAAATTCTAGACTCCCAGAAGGAAAGCAGGTGTTCAGTGTGAGCCTTACTGTTTGTGCAGGTTAGGCATCATGAGCACCCTTATCAGTTATTAGTGGTGGGAACCCTTCCAAAATCTAAGTTCCCAGACGTCAATCCCAAGCTGGACTTTCATAGAGTAGCAGTCAGGCCTGCTCTGGTAGCTCCTTTCTGCATGAGCAGTCCTCCTTACTCAATCTGTTTTCATATCTCCTTGTATGTTTAAGTCACTTCAGGGTTCCAAGTATTAATGATGGTTTGTCTCACTGAAGCCTTTATTTTTGGAATTTAAGCTGGTCTGTTTGACTTAAAAAGGGATAGAAAATATTTTTAGAGAATGTATCTCCTTGACTGTCTATCCTAAAACCTAAAAGGTTTATTTTTTTCCGAGCTTAAACCCTTACCCCTCTAGTGTAGGCTTTCATATTCTCTTTCCACCATGCTCCTGGGTTTCCTTACTGGAATTTGATCTCTTAAGGAACTGAGCTATTTGAGGGCTCAGAACATAGAAGCTAAGAGAAACCGTGAGAAGAGTTCTGTATTTTGACATTTCTACTTCCTAATTTGGTCATTTTACATCTGGGTTGCATTCTGAGTGTTCTTTTATAAATCATTTGTTGTGATGTGTAACATATGGTTCCAGGATGTTTACGCCCCAGGCCACAACTCTAATTCTACCCAGTCTACAGTATATCTGAAATACTGCTTGGTTATAAGGGCAAAGGAGCAGAAAATGGTGTTCTTGAAATTCTGACAACTCAGCAAACCCCTTATATTTGTAAATAAATTACTGGTCTTCCCCAAATTTTGGCTTTTATAAGCACAGTGACTCTTACCTTTTTGAGGGGACAGGAATTCCTTTAAGAATCTGGTGAAAGCCCTGCACTCCCTTCCTGGAAAAAAACCTACTTTGTAATTTGCAGTCTCAGGAAATTTATATAAATTGAATTACAGTCCCCGCAAGCAGATGTGGGAGACCTTCATTATAAGTGTAACAATAATTTGATTTGGGGGCAATTCTGAGAGAAGCTGGACTGTTCTTGGGAGGGTTGTTCCTCTTGCTACTCAGAAGTGTACCATGGTCCAGCAGCATCAGCGCCCGGGAGCGTGTCCAAATGCAGACTCTCAGTCCCCTCACCCCCAGATCCAATGAATCATGAGCTATATTTGAGCAAGATGCCCAGGTAATCTGTGTGCGCATTGAAGTTGGAGAAGGGCTGTGTTAAAGTTTAATGATGCTGGTGGTTTATTATGTCTTCAGTTAACAAGTTATACAGCTTTTTAAAGATTTGGTATACAACTCCTTTTAGCCTTCGTTTTTCAGCCCCTATTGTTTTTTTTTTTTTTTTTTAATGTATGGGACTTTCTGGTAAAGTGGCAATTTTCAGGAATAAACTCAGATTTGGAACTGAGGAGCTTCAGGTGGTTGAAGACTGAGGAGCAGATAGCTGCTTGTCCCAGCCACTAGGCGGCCCCACTGGACCAGTTGCCCTTGGGAACAGCAGTTGGGAGTGGTGCTGGAGTGAGGAGCCCCTGGTGGTGGGCGGCTGCTGCTTGTTCTCCAGACAAGTGTGTGGGACCCAGAGGACATCTAATTAGATTAAGGACCTGGAGCTGGTTGCAGGCAAATTGAAGATCTTTTTACTTTTCTGTGACAATGGCTACAGGTTTAACCTATGAGTAGGAACTGCCCAGACAGTCAAACGGTTTAATTTGGGAGCATTATACTGCCTAATAATGAATTCCATGACAATGCTTGTGTATAAAAAAACAAAAAAACAAAAAAAAAACATGTTTTCTTTTCGATGAATATGTAATCTGGTGTTTGAGGCAGTATCATATCTTGGAAGAAGTGGCAGTGGCTTAAGGCTGTTGCATATCTGGGGGAGGGGGGAGCACTGAGTTACAGAGAGTTCTCTTGGAGACTTCATGGCCACGCAAGTCTTTGTATGAACACTAACACCGACACTGGTATTCTCCATCCTTGTAAACCTGATAACGTGTTCTGTTTTTTTGGTAGGTCTGGATTTCCTTACTGCTTTGTCTTGAAGACAGAACTATGCCAAAGAAAGCGAAGCCTGCAGGGAATGGAAGGGAAGAGGGGCCTGTTCCCTGTAAGCGGGGGAAGGTGAAGGCCGCTGGAGGGTCTTCCACTTTAAACTTTGACAGCCCCGGTGGTCTCTTTGAAAGTTTAATCTCACCTATCAAGACAGAGACGTTCTTCAAGGAATTCTGGGAGCAGAAGCCCCTTCTCATTCAGAGAGATGACCCTGCACTGGCCACATATTACCAGTCCCTATTCCGGCTAACAGATCTGAAGAGTCTATGCAGCCGGGGTATATACTATGGAAGAGACGTGAATGTCTGCCGTTGTGTCAATGGGAAGAAGAAAGTTTTAAATAAAGATGGCAAAGCACACTTTCTTCAGCTGAGAAAGGATTTTGATCAGAAAAGGGCAACGATTCAGTTTCACCAACCTCAGAGATTTAAGGTAACAGGTTTCCCCAACACATAGTCCTCATACATATTAAAGTGCGAACATTTGGCTGCAGATCAGCTCAAGGGTGAAGATGTGGTACCATGAGGATTAGCCTCCTGTCAGTTTGAGAAGGGATGGCCCCAGTTTGTTCTTTAAATGCATTCTAATTTAGACATTTTAACTATGTTATCGTTTGGTTCCAAACTCTTAAAAGCTCAGGGTAGGTGGTTTTGTTACATAGCACTGGGCTGTAAAACTAAGTTACATTGCATGTTTATAAAGTTACTGAAGTAGCACTGTGCCTCTAGGAGTATGTTCTGTGGGCTGGTTGTGTTTTTCTAAATGATAGACATTCTGTTTGGTATATCCTTTCACTATAACTTAAGGCATGAAAGCATCAAGATGATCATTTTTCTTGAAGTTGCCTCCCTTTACTGCCTACATATATCAAGGGGAGGCTTCAGGGCCATGACCAGATCACGTACCAGATTCATAATTAAGAAAAGAAACTTTACCATTATTAACAATCCATTTGAAGTGTGAGGTCCAGGAGAGGCAGTTGTAGGTGGAGGATGTCTTTGATTTGCAAGCCCAGAGGACTGGTTAACTTTTCTTCTACATCAGTGATTGACATTGAGAGATAATGTTGCCTTTTCTGTGCTCAGTTTTTGCATATATAAAATGCAGATTTAGAACGAGCTAATCTGCTTTCCTGGAGGTTTGAGATCTTTATGTCATCTTGTGACAGATGGCCCAGAACAGTTGAGGGCTGTTCTGAGTTTTGGATAGAGTTTAATCCCCATTCAGAATCCCCCTTCTGTGACCCATGGCCAAATCAAATTGGCAGGATAGGAGGAGAATGAGAAGGGATCCTAATTTCCATATGGAGAGGAGTGGATTCTGGCTATATTGGTGGCTTCTGGGGCACTGTCATCAGCTACCAATAGTGTTTCCCATGATTTAACTCAGGAGTTGGCTTGCTAGATCCGATTAAGCCTCATCTGGTGAATGCCTTTTCCTTTCTTGTCTAAAGAACCCGGCTTGGCGCCTGTGGCTCAAGTGGCTAAGGTGCCAGCCACGTACACCTAAGGTGGTGGGTTCGAATCCAGCCTGGGCCTGCCAAACAACAATGATGGCTGCAACCAAAAAATAGCCGGGTGTTGTGGCAGGCGCCTGTGGTCCCAGCTACTTGGGGGGCTGAGGCAGGAGACTCGCTTGAGCCCAGGAGTTGGAGGTTGCTATGAGCTGTGATGCCAGAGCACTCTACCCTGGGGGACAGCTGGAGGCTCCTGTCTTTAAAAAAAAAAAAGGATCTTGAACCCAGTTACAGTCTGGAAAAAGTATAAGTATTGTTGGATTTTTCAGGACAAATCCTGATTCCAGTTTTTCCATCTCAAGTAATCATAAGAAGTTGAAATGTCTCTGAAATGCCAACCTTGTGGCCAGAGCACTCAAAAAGAATTTATAGATCATTTGCCAGGCCAAGTTGAGATTTTGTATCAGAAAATATGGACACCCTGGATAAAATGCTTTTCTCTGAGATAGACCTCGACTCTTTACTAGACTGGAAGTAGCACTTTTAAGAGTGATTTTTAGAAACCTAAGAACCATGAATGTAAATGAATTCAGCAAAGTTGACTGCATGTGATTTGGTCATAAACCAGCAGAGAGTTGTTATTTGGGGGGTGTGTAGTGTCCTCCATGGCTGTCATTTCTGTGCTGTAGAGTCATCTCCCTCGGGGCTTTTCTCTTCTTGTCCGCTTAAGCTCTACACATGCTCATCTGGGATTCCAGGTGGCCAAGAACCTATTTCCTTTGCCCTGTTGACTCTGCTTTTTGGCCCCCTTTATTAAAGCAGGAGGGATAAGCATTCTCAGCCCAAATCCAGTCCTCAGGCTAAAATAGTATGCCTCTTGTTATTTCTGTTCTATCCTCCACCCATATTCGAGAAACCATAAACTATAAGAGCTTACCCACGTACACTAGAAGTTGGGCTTTAAATATAGTAGAATCTTTGTAAGTTGACCATCCAAGGGACTGTAACTGGTCAACATAAGAAGGTGGTCACCATAAGGAACTAGGCCTGCTGTACTGGTATGTACTTGTGGTGTAGGTCCAGTCTATAAAAATCAGGTCAACTTACAGAAGTAGTCAATGTAGGGACCTGGTCATCTGTGGAGGGACTACTATATTATACTACACTAATATAATATATGATACTACATTATGAATAGGCTTAGTGTTGCGTGTGTGATTCTATAGGAATAAGTATGTTAACATCACAATAGAAAAAGTCTAGAAGCAGCTCATCACCAGCCAGGTTGAGAGACTATTAGAGTGGACCTTTAGCCCTTTGTTTATTAGTTCTCAGACAGTTTATGTGTCTGCTTGGTCTAAAAATAAGAAAGGAGGTAACCAGAGAGCTGTAATAAAGTTGTTTCTCACCAGCTTTGGATTATCCATATTATCACAGTTCTTTTTTTTAAACTTTTTTTTTTTTTTTTTTTTGGTGTTTTTGGCCGGGGCTGGGCTTGAACCTGCCACCTCCGGCATATAGGGCCAGAGCCCTACTCCTTTGAGTTACAGGCCCCGCACTTACCATAATTCTTTGCATTTTGCATAGCAGGTTAGAGTTCACCAAATACTTCCACGCGTTAGCTTTTGACCCTTTCAACAGACATTTGAAATGGTGCAGCCACTGTGGTTTCCGTTTACTATGTGAAGAAACTGGAGTTCACAGACGTGCCTTTTCCATTGCTATTCTGAGCTGGTACTGGTTTCTGACTCCACATTGAAGGCACTTTCCCACCATACTTTGAAAGATGTTGGCTGAGATGTAGCAGTGCTTTTGTGTGTGTGTGTTTGCCTTTCTTTTTTTTTTTTTTTTTTTTTTTTGAGACAGAGCCTCAAGCTGTCCCCCTGGGCAGAGTGCCGTGGCCTTACAGCTCACAGCAACCTCCAACTCCTGGGCTCAAGCGAGTCTCCTGTCTCCGCCTCCCAAGTAGCTGGGACCACAGGCGCCCGCCACAACGCCCGGCTATTTTTTGGTTGCAGCCGCCATTGTTGTTTGGCGGGTCCGGGCTGGGGATTTGAACCCGCCACCTTAGGTGTACGTGGCTGGCGCCTTAGCCGGTTGAGCTATAGGCGCTGAGCCGTGTTTGCCTTTCTTTAGGCATGTTCGTGGGCTTCTTTTCCTAGGACTGGTACTCACTTTTGAGTCTGTGGATGAGTTCATGGAGAGAGGAGGTTGTACCCACCCAGGAGGGATACTCCCACCTTCCCTCTTTCATTGTTCCAAGTCCTTTTCAGCCTGTCTGGGTGTAGTTGGGAGTCACGTGGTAAAAAAGAAGACAGATTTCAGGAGTTGTCAGTGTTGGTGAAGCAGTAACACTTGTAATTGTGGTAACACTGCTTTACCATTTCAGTAGGATTTGAGATAAGTTGTTTTATGCTGTTCGCTCACAGTCTAAGGGTGAGCATAGTAATATCTTTATATTACAAATAAAGAAATCAAAGTCACCTAGCTTGTAACAACCTGGGCTGAGGGGAGGTTTACTCTATGTCTCTTTCTGGTAGGCCACGTTTGGCAGATTCAGAAACTGCAGGCCTAGGAAAAATGGAAAGAATATGCAATTGATAGCATTTTCAGTAACCTTTGAGAAGAGACGTACATTTGTTAGTTACAGACCCCTATGCTTGAGCTGGGAACCATAAAGTCACCTCTACTGTTCTAAAGGGTGTCTCAGGCCATCAGAGGGAGAGAGAAGGAGAGGCCCTGCTTTTCTAGTGGCTCCATTTACTATATAAATAATACAAAAGGTTCTGCTGACCTTTTGCTAAAATAAATTAGCCTCCTTGGGAGCTCTGTTAACTCTTAGGAGCTATTCAGAGGCCATAAAGTTAATTTTTTCATGTGTTATGTAGAACTTCTGAGATCTGTATGTAGAGAAGCCTGGTAGTTTGAATAAAGATGACTCCCCAAGCATTTTTCAAACTGACCCAATACTTTAGCACTTCATCTTTTAATACTATAAATCCTTTTTGAGACCTGTAGTAGAATTGACTCCCAAGCTGTGTTCATTGGTTTACTCAGCAAATATTTTAGTATGTTTTGTATTTTACGAGTATTTCATGTGCCAGGCATTTTATAGGTAATTTAAACCTAGAATTTGAATTCTGACTCCATCATTTACTAGTTGTATATTCTTCTGTAATTGTTTCCTCCTCTGTAAACTGAGGGTAATGCCGATACCCTTCCCTCTTATGAGACAGGATTGTCGGAAGGGTTATATAACTAACATGTGCAAAGCACTTAGAGACAGCCCCTGGGGCACAGGAAGGGCTAATATCCACCTGGCCTAAATGCTGCCTTCCCTTTCCTCATCAGCCTTGAGAAAATCAGATTTCTTTCTTTCTCATAGGATATATGGCTTGTGGCTAGGCCCCACCGTCTCTTGTGCGCTCTGAAGAGTTGACCAGTGACTGGAGAGAGGCCACATTACTTGTCCCTGCGATTCCTTCTCTGTCTGTACCTTCTTCCTAGGTCACCGAGGTTCCTATCACTTTACACACCCATTTTGGGTAGGCAGTTCCTGAGTGTACGTCCCCAGCCCTTACTTCCTGCCAGTACTTTTAACATCTCCACATGGGTGTCTTAGCATCCCAAATTTAACATTTCTAATGTTGAACTTTTTTTTTCTCTCCTGAAAAAGGTTTTTGTTTTTATTTTTTGAGCAAGTCTTTTCAGTAAATGGAACTGGGAGCTAATTGCCCAAGTCAGAAACCCAGTAGTATTTTTTTTTTTTTTACTCCTTCCATTTCCATTTTTATTTTGCCTCTTTATGTTCAGTCCACCAGCAGGTCCTGTCAGTGTTGACCCCAGAGCACATGTGACTTTTCTGCTTCATCCAGTCCCTCTCCGACCATCCTGCTGGCTTCTCACCTGGGCTGCTGCCTGTGTGACTTGTGAGTAGACTCTACTCTTTCCACAGTCCATTCTCCACACAACAGCCAGCTGAGCTGGTAAAAATGTAAAGTGGACTGTGTCATCCTCCCACTTAAAGCCCTTCCTGACTCCCAGTCGTGAGCCTTGTTCAGTTCCCAGTGTCTGGCATATGAGTTGCATAGTAAGACCTCCTAAGTGAGCAAGAACATGTCCTTACCCTTATTGCTAATATATTTTTCACTTCCCTCCTTTTTTTTTTTTCTTTCTTTTTATGAAGGATGAGCTTTGGAGGATCCAGGAGAAGCTGGAATGTTACTTTGGCTCCTTGGTTGGCTCCAATGTGTACCTAACCCCTGCTGGGTCTCAGGGCCTCCCGCCTCATTATGATGACGTCGAGGTAAGAGAGGAAGAAAGGTTCACATGTGGGCAAGAACAAGTTGCTGAGAGCCTGGGCTAGGGTAGCTGTCAGGGTTAGTTCACATTATTCTTTAAGCCTCGTAGGCCAGGTCTGTGTTCACTCTTTCTGTGTAGTGTCTGGAGATCTTGATCTCATCTAAAGCTTGGGCCAAAATCAATCCCACTAGACTGGTTTCCTGCTCTTTCTCAAAGGGAGAGATTGTTTCCAATCTTACTAATTTAAAGAGCCTTTAAAACAGGTATTGATTTAATTTATCTACAGAGAAGTACGATTGGCTTTTTCTTTACTTTCAGAAAGCATGCTCTTTAATCAGGTGAGGTCACAAACAATCCTTACATCTGCTTGCATTTTGTTCTTTTTCAGTAGCTGCCAAAAATATGTATATTTTTTCCATTGGCAAAAATCCTGGGTAGTTTGAATAAGGCTCATGATTTCACTTAAGCATTGGCACCTTGATGAGTGTTGATTTCACTCTCATGTGACTTCCAAAAAAAGTTAACTCTTTGGCTTAGGTATTTCATCGTTTTATTTTTGTGCTAATATAAGGTGTGAACACAAAATTATTACTTTAAAGTCCCCTTTATTCCCTTGTGAAGAAATTTGATATCAATACCTTTTCTGAAAGTGTTAACTTTTAATATTTTTCACAGAGCATTGAAATACTTTTGGAATTAAGAATAAAAGACTTGAAGTTTTCCTGTCGGCAAGGCCCCTTCAATATTCAGGATTTTAGACATTCAGTAATATCTGAAGCTTGGCTTTTCCATCAGAGATTATGGGCTTTAGGCTGTCTGCTAGAAGATTTAAAGGAATAAGATAGTGGGATATAAAGAACTCAGTGAGGCACTAAGGAAGTGAAAAGAGTGAATATCCAGCATCAGGATTCATGATTACCTATTTTTAAAAATGAAAACCAGGAGTAGCAACTTTTAAGTGTGGAGTGACATGCGTTTCTGATCTTTCATTTTTATTTTTTATCTGAAACTTGTACAGTTGACTCTTGAACAACAAGGAGTTTAGGGGACGTGACCTCTTGTGCACTCGAAAATCAGAGTGTAAGTTTTGACTACTCCAAAAGTTAACCACTACTGCTGATTAGAAGCCTTATCAATAACGCAACACTTATTTTGTATGTCGTATGTGCCATGTAGAGTATTTTTATAATAAAGTAAGCTAGAGAAAAAATGTTACTAAGAAAATCATAAGGAGAAAATGTGTTTCCAGTACTATATGTATTTATGAATATTGTAAGTTTATGTCATCTGTTTATAAGATAGATCATCTGTCTGAAATGGTGGGTGATGTCATCTACCACCTCAATATATGGTACACATCAAGTAAGTCAACTAATTCTTGTAATATCATGGCTTTTTTCTGCTTCTTGAGAGAACTCAGCATCACTAGTGGCCCTTCATATGGGTCCTGTGTTGTTATTCAAGGTATACAGTATATTTGGACTAAACATAATGAAAAACATGAGAGATCACTTTTTACTACAATACAGAATTTACTGGCAAAGCAGACCGCTCATGTGGAGATGGGTAGCAGCATCACACATTGTTTTAAGCATTACTTGGCAACCTCCAAGCTCCAGCAATAGCAATGGGAGGTAACTACAGAATTATTAAGGTCATACAGTTTGTGTGCACCTCAGTTAATTTTATACTGTTACGATTTAGTACTTCATCTTTAACCTTGTTCATGTTTCTCTTGACTGCAAGTGGTGCCATGTATTCTCTGCAAGTTTTTGTGGCAGTTTTAATAAATTTTAACTTTTTATAATAGATTTGTATATATTTTGTAGTAATCAATGGTAAAATAGACTGGTGCTTAGATACATTTTATGCATTTATGACATACCTTTAAAATTTTCTTATTTTTTCAAATGGTTGTAAATCTCCAAGAAACATTGTAATATATTTATTGGAAAAAAAAAAAAAAAAACCACAGGCAAGTGACCCTGCACAGCTCAAACCCTTGTTGGTCGGGAGTCAACTGCAATTCATCTAAGCCCTTAAAGGGCTGATACTCTGGAAGCACTTTCCTATGAGACTTGTCAGGAAGTTCTCTGATGCTCCTGGGCCTTTGGGTCTCTGTAGGTTTTCATCCTGCAGCTGGAGGGAGAGAAACACTGGCGCCTGTACCATCCCACTGTGCCCCTGGCACGGGAGTACAGCGTGGAACCTGAGGACAGGATCGGCAGGCCGACGTATGAGTTTACACTGAAGGTATGGAATGATCCTGTGGGCACCTCTCCTCTGCTGCTTTTCTGTGTTGCTGAGACAAACTGCTTTGGGGCTTAGATTTGGTGATGGTCCCTGGGGGGACAAAACCCCGGGTCTCAGGGCAGGGAGGCTGGCATTGCTGTCAGCCAGCACATGGGGCTTCTGCAGGAGTCTTGGCAGTTTGTATTTGGATAAGTGAAATGAAGAACTATTAACTTCATTTTCCTAATAACCTGTTTCTGTGTATGATCCAAGTTTAGCAGGAATAGAGTGAATTCTGTCATCCACCAATCTCTGGAACAAAAGTGGAATGTCTGGCCTTGGACAGCTTCTCCACATCTAAAAACAACTGGCAGCATGGTCTGTAAGGTGCTTAGAGCACAGCTAGGAATCACCCAGTTGTTCTATTGCTAAAATTCCACTGTAACCCATTTACCTTCTTACTATAAAGTAGACGATCCCTGCACCCCCACTCTCCCCCCTCCCCTGCACATAGTTACCAAAAGAGTAATAATTATGGAGGCTCTTGAGGCTTCCTCCTCCAGGGAGCAGGTGGCTTGATCACGTCCTGGTTCCTTGGCATCTTGCTGCTGAGAAAAATCTGTCCTAGAGCTGTCAGCTTGGGTGGGAGCAGAGCCAGTCCTCAGCAGGAGAGGTTGTTGAGAAAAAGGCTTAGAGGAATAGGAATAGCTTTGTAATTAAACTGTATGCATTTATTAAAACACATAACTTTAATTTCCTTTAGTGGCAGTAGAACAATAGTTCAAACCATTCCAAAGATTCTGTCAACCTGGCATATTTGCATATAGTTACTATTTTTGTATTTCTTGCATCTTGAAGTTAAAATTAGTGTCTAATTCTTACTTAGTGCCTGTATCTTTCTTGATTTTCAAATCTGTGTGTGCCAATACCTGGGGAGTACAATCTTCCTTTTTAGGAATAAGTGCCTGTGTTACAGGGGACTTAAATAAATAAATGACAATAAAGGTAACCTTCTTGGTTTTTGTGTTCCTAGTGGTCACCAAACTATAGACCATGGGCCCCCAAATCTGGCATGCTGCCTGTTTTTGTAAATAAAGGTTATTGCACACCCATTTCTTAATGAGCTGTGACTGTGTTCAGGTTTTACCAGCAGAGTCAGTGGCCACAGAGACCATGTGACCTACAAACCAGAAATGTTTACTGTCATTACATTTGGCCCTTCATAGTTTGCCGGCTTCTGCTTTTGGTGAACCATGTTTATGCAGACTCTTGGTTGGTTTTTTTCAAGCTAAAGACTAAGCTATCTATGGTCTCAGGCTAGGGCTGAGTTACTCATGCTGACAATCTGGCTATTTGCCCTGCTCAAGAGGGTTGCGCTTCCTAGTCACCTTCAGGTGTAGAGGGTGTGTGTTGTTTGTATTTTTGCCATGGGACTCAGAAGAGATGGAACAGGTGCCTATTAAAACACTCAGTGAATACTCAGCTCATTAAGGGAAGTCATGGTGACCTGGCCGGAGAAAGCCTGCATTGTACAGGGCAGGGTTTGCCAAGTAGGTTTATATACACATGAGGTTTTAACCAGTGGGCCTCTTCATAGGAAATCTTGTGTCACTGCCCAATACATGACGTTAAAAAACTGAGTTTCCCTGGTTGGAGGTGGGCATGGGAGCTTCAGCGAGAGTCCTGGAACCCTTGTCTGCTGCCTTCCCTGTCCTCCAGGGGCAGCCTGTGCGATATACCTGCCAAACCTGGCTGGCAGGGTGAAGACCAACCTTGCGATGGAAACACCACTCTGTGGCTTGTGGGTCTGACGGATCTGGGTTTGAATTCAGCTGCTGTCACTGATTAATTGCGTGTCTTGGGGCAAGTCATTTAAGCCTCTGCTTCTTTTCTAAAATGGAGATTATTATATTTACCTCACAGGCTAGAAGGACTGAAAAATATTATTTTGATGCCTCCTTTACAATAAAATTCCTTGCAGGAGATATCTTTATATCTGTACTAGTTTTCCTGTTGCTGCTTATCAAATTACCACTAACTCTGTTATTTAAAACAACATAAATTTATTACCTTATAGTTCTGAAGATCAGAAGACCAAAAAGGGTCTCACTGGAGTCATCAGGACTGCATTCCTTCTGGAGGCTCTAGGGGAGCATCTTCCCTTGCCTTTTTCAGCAAGGCAGGGGAGGCATGGAGCAAATGTTTGTGGATTAAATGAAATATGTGCTTGTATGCTGCCAAGCGACATCTCAGTCAGTGACAGACTGCATGTATGACAGTGCACCCTAAGATTATAATGTAGCTAAAAACTTCCTGCTGCCAGTGATGTGTCGCTGTTGTAAAACATTGTAGTGTGGTGCATTACTCATGCATTTGTGGGGATGCTGGCATAAACAGTCCTGCCGCACAGCCAGTTGTGTGAAGGTAGACAGCAGTGGCTTAGGTGTTACAGCCACTCACCACTCACTCCTGCATGACACAGAGCAGTTTCCAGTTCTGCCAGCTCCACATTCCTGGTGTATGCCCTATATAGGTGTACTGCTTTTTATCTTTTATACCATACGTATTTTTTTTGACACAGTCTCACTTTGTTCCCCTCAGTAGAGTGCAGTGACATCACAGCTCACAGCAACCTCAAACTCTTAGGCTCAAGTGATCCTCTTGCTTCTGCTTCCCAAGTAGCTGGGACTACAGGCTATAATGCCCTGCTATTTTAAGAGATGGAGTCTTGCTCTTGCTTAGGCTGGTCTTGAACTCCAGAGCTCAGGCAATCCACCAGCCTTGGCCTCCCAGAGTGCTAGGATTACAGGTGTGAGCCACCAAGGCTGGCTATACATAATGTTACTGTACCTTTTCTAGATAGATTTAAATACACAAATCCTCAGCATTGTATTAGTTTCCTACAGTATTTAGTACAGTAACATGCTGCATAGGTTTGTAGCCTAAGCACTAGAGGCTATATTGTGTAGCCTGGGAGTGTAATAGGTTATCCCATCTGGGTTTGTATGATGACAAATTTGCCTGACAACACATTTCTCAGAATGTGTCTTCCTCATTAAGTGACATGTAACTGTATATGTGAGGTTTTCACCGAGACTGGCACAGAGATACTCAGTAAATGATAGTTAGAACTGTACTCAGTAAAGCATGTAGTAGACAGTTTCCTTTAGTGCAGAGAGAGGAAAAGCAGCCCTCAAGAGTCCTTTTCTTCTCTGTAGGCAACCACTCTACAGAATGCTTTGGTCCAGGTGGGATTAGAGTAGCAGTCACTCAGGGAAGTAGTACTTTGGGGAGAAGATTTCTGTCCACTTGTTTGGGAGAGAAAAGGGATAGGATGGAGGAGGCTCAACTGCCTGTGAAAATGACTAACATGTCTTTTGGGGGTTCGAATAAGGGTTGTATCGTTTTTCATCCATTCATCCAAGCATTTGTTGAGCCTATATTATATGCTATGCGCTTTGTCTGGATATGCTCTGGGGAATACAAGATGGGTAAGGTACAAACCTTGCCTGTAAGAGCTCAAAAATTCACAGGGTGGGAGGATTAGCAGGTAAAATAATAAAACCATCTGCCCATGACTGCCCCTGGAGCATTGGAAACATCATCTCCTTAATCCTCAAAATAATCCTGCGAGGTTTGGGGCTGTTCTCTGTTTTACAGATAAAGAAACTGATGCTTTGGGCAGTTAATTGCCAGGTTATCAGCCAGTAACTGACAGTGCCTGTTTGACTCTAAATTAAGGCTCCTCCTCTTAACCACTGCAGAATGTGAAAAGGAAGGAGCAGGTTTCCTAGGCACTGGATGTCACTCTGCTTGATCCTGGAATCGAGGTTGGCTGGTTTCAGGTGTATCTTGTCTCAATTTGAGACTACAGTGACTTCAGGCCCTGGAAGCCTCTCGTGGACAGTGATTTCCAGTGACAGGCTGGTGGACACAGAGAAGCTAGCCTAGCTGGACACCACATGAGCCCAGCATTCAGCCTGCCCCTTGAAGTAGTGGTTACTAGAATGGAGAACAGACTCAAAGCCCCTGTTTGTTTCCTTGAAGTAAAGAGGACTGAAAAGTTGTACTTAATTAACGCCTCTCCTCTTCTGTTTCCCCCTGTAGCCAGGTGACCTGCTGTACTTTCCCAGAGGGACCATTCATCAAGCGGACACTCCTCCAGGACTGGCCCACTCTACTCACGTGACCATCAGCACCTACCAGAACAAGTAAATGCTCTGCTTCCCCGCCCAGCGTCCTAGCACAGGTCGTGGTGTGGCCTGCGGCAGTCACATCCATGAGGGACAGGAGGCAGTTGGCCACCACCTCTCATCCAGGCCCCGATGACTTCCATGTGCTTATTCTTTTGCTGTCCCTGGCCCATAGGGGCATCCTCCTGGGAACATCGTGAATCTGGGGATCACCCACATACCAGGGCTAATAGTTTGGAAAGAAAAAAAACTGTAGCTGTGGGTATTTCTATGTTAGTGATGCTAGGTTGGACTCATAGACTGTCTTTTATTTTATTATGGTGAAATATAAAACATAAAATATGCCCCCTTTAAGTGAACAATGTGTTGGCATTAATTACATTGACACTGTTGGCCAACTGTCAACCGCTGTGTTTTTGAACCATTTTTGATGCCTGTGGCAGAAATTCCATAGCACATTAAAACCTCTTGGTCTCTTTTAATGCTTTTAGTCAGTGCAATCCATGAAGCTAAAGTGGGAAAGGCAGTCTGGAACAGTGGGAACTGAAAGCTCAGGTGCTGGCAACAGCTCCCACTGAAATCCTGTTTCATTTCGGCAAATGCCTCCTCACAAGAGGAGCTGGTGGCAACGCTTGTGTGTGTTACTTCCAAAAAGCAACCTTGTCGGTCCAAATCACATCTAAAAACAGCAGTCATTAGTTAATTTATTCAGCAAGCATGTGCTAGACACCGCTAGTTGCTGGGAATGCAAGGATTGTATTGAAGGGGCTTTGAGAGAGCTTATGCTTTGGAAGTGGTGGTGGGCGGGGAGACAGACGTGTAAATAGCTGCCAGACAGAGTGCTGAGTTCTGCGGTAGGTTTGTAGAACTGTCTGCAGGAGTGGAGCGCATTTAGCCAAGCGGGGGTGTCAGAGAAGGCCTCAGAAACAACTTGACACCAAAGTTGAGTGAGTCTTAAAGGATGAGAAAGTAGGGTGGGTCAGAAGATCAGAGTAGGAGAGGACATTCCAGGCCCAGGGGACAGCAAATCCCCTCCTACTTTCAAAGCTATAGCTTGCTAAACAGGTTAGTAAGCATACCTCTGCTACTTCCTCTGACTTTTTAGTGTGAAATCCTCCTCTTGGTTTAAGGGACTTACTGAAGGAACTAGCTGGAGTCCGGCCAGAGGGTGCCGCCTTTGCCTGCAAGCAGAAGGCCCGGCATATATCAGGCTTCTACTTTGAAACACACCCTTGTCACTGTGGATAGATATGTTCCTTGCATAGTACGGGGCAGAAAGTCACCAACTACAGCTCAAGACAAACAGGAACACTTGAGGGATTCCCAGGGACTGTGGAAGGGCGGGCTTTGAGGGCTGGGGTCAAGTTCATTTCAGATCCAGAGCAGCTCTGGACCGTGGCAGACGCATAGTTGGGCCTTGTGAACATCCGAGCATCTTTGTTGTCTTATCGTGAATGTACTCAGCTGCTGCTTCTCCCCGAATTCTCTTTCATTTCTCTTTCTGCCGCCAGCTGGTTTCCAGGCAGTTTTTGCTCCTTCCTTTTCCCTCCTGTTTCTTTTTACTCATAACATCAGCTAAGCCAGCATCACCAGTTACTTCTCTGACCTCCCTCTATCTCATTGACCTTAGTAGCTTTTGACTTTTTTCCCAGTCCCAAAAGTGAAGACAGGTAGGCTGTTCCTAGGTCCCACCCACATCTTTTCCCAGTCTGTAAGGGCTGGGGAAGAGCCTTTACCAAAGGCTGTCGAGAGCTTGCGGGTGAGTGCAGTGACCATGTGTCCAGGCTGGATTTCGACCTGTGTCTTAGTCAGATGGAGCCAGAATGGGAAAATAGAACTGAAGGATCACTGCTCCCCTGAGATGTTCTGTGCTTTGAGCCTGGTGCTCCTTCAGCAAGCGTGGTAGGGTGAAGATTTGGGGCCTCTTCCTAACACCTCTCAAGGTAGCACTGTTGGAGCATTTGGGCCTTCTGTGTGGGACAACAGTGCATCGATTTGGCTTTTTGACCAAAGTGAGTTCCTTATTTAGAAACAAAGGTGTGTTTCTAAATTTTGGAAAGTCCCAGGATCTATTCTGATTCTTAGAGCACAGAGGCCTGTCTCCCTGCAATTAAATTCCTCTACCAGCATGTCCCTCATGACTTCCAGGCATAACCTGCAAAGCCAGCTGGGACGTCACGCTGCTGAGAGATCTGCACGTGGCCTCCAGGCGGAGGTTCAAGAAAAGATGCAGAGGTGGATGTAATATTAAGTCACCAGCAGTGAGGCCGCCAGGCAGTGGACGTCTTGGGGAAAGTGTCTCTCACGGCTTTTGTCTTCCTTTGCCACATTTCCGGGTGGGAAGCATAAAAGTGTTAATTTTGCTTACTGAGTGAGAAGCAAAAGTCATACTGTGAATTTCCATTTTGCACATAGCCAGCAATTTGAAATCTGCTGGTGACACAGGAAATTTTAAACAGCTCAGAAATGTTTAAAGAGAGCAACCCCGCAGAGTGTGTTTCTTACACTCTCACATACTTAGGAATGAGCCAATTCTAAAAGCCCCAGAGAAAGCAAAGGTAATTGAACCTGGATGCTTGTCCCTAGATGCTACTGGTAACCACTGGCTTCTACTTGCTACCCCATTAAATCAATTTTTTTTTTTTGAATTATTGATATTGGTTGGTATTTCACTCAGGAACTGCTTCCCTCTCCTAAGTGACAAGGAAAATGTGACATTTAACTGTTCAAATAATTACACAGTCCGGAGATCTTGCTATTACCCTAAGTATATTTCTGTTGGATTTACTGCACATAAAATTGCAGGTCCTATAATAAATGTTAAAACTTTGTACAAAGTTCTCATCTTAGACACTTTGGTTAAAAATTGGGTCCCTTGAACTTCCTATTTTTTGACAGTCTGTGATTAATTTTCCGTTACCTCTGAGGGAAATCGCAAATGAAGCCTCCCTTGTTACCTATAGCTTTATAAGTGAGTGTCTGGCAGGGGGAGGAAGCAGGTAATTGGTGAAGGTCTGAGGTTTCTATGTGAGTCATGTCCAAGTGATTGAACTCAGAATACCCTGAAAGAGAAGTTGGAATCCAATCTGTGTATTTTGGCTTTACTGGCAGTGTTTTATGTATATCTTGTATGCATTCACTGGTTTCTTCTTTTTTTTAATTGGTACGTATTCTAGTTCATGGGGAGATTTCCTTTTGGATACCATCTCGGGGCTTGTGTTTGATACTGCAAAGGAAGATGTGGCGTTGCGGGCTGGCATACCCCGACAGCTGCTCCTGGTAAGGAATAAAGGCAAGTGGGAATGAAGGGTGGTAGCTGCGGCCCAGACTAGCTGAAGCCCTGCCCCTAGGGACCCTCGAATCCTTCTTCTAGGATGAGCCAAGCTTGTCTCTGTGCTACCCCACTGAGCCATATGATCTGCAGAATGAATGGAGGGCTGCGTGTCATGTGGTGATCCAAAAACCACAGGCGTTGCACAGACAGGTCTTTCACAGTGGCAGTAGCAGGCACTGTGGGAGTGTTAATGGAATAAATGAATAATGTGGCCAGGAGAATTATAGATCCAGCACACATCAGATTATTAGGAGACAGTGGAGTTAGGAGGTAGAGGCCTGGGTTTGTTCCCTGGCTTTCCTATTTTTTTACATTTTGAAACAGGAGTACTATTTTGTTAGTTTCCAGATCAGTGGATTCGTGCTGAGTTGAGCAAAGGTTGCTTTCACTGTGTGAAGCAGTCATCTTAGGACAATAACTTGCTTTCCTAAACGCAGAGCCCAACCTGCACTATACTTCCAAGGATTCCATTTCCATGCATTTTCCTGAAAATTGATCTTTTTTTGAAAACAATAGAGGCGCTTAAGATGAACAGTGTTTACCAGGAAACAATGGGATATTGTATTTAGGAGCTCAGGGTGCCCCTCCTCCTTTGGCGTGACATGGATTTATGGCTATCCTGGGTGGTTGGCGGCTACACGTACTACTGTGGAGACTGGGACCTGGAAGTTCTGTCAGGGTCCAGGCCACAACTCACTTCTGTTTGTAGCAGGTGGAAACCACAGCTGTTGCAAGGCGACAATTAAGTGGCTTTCTGAGGACACTTGCAGACCGGCTAGAGGGCACCAAAGAACTGCTTTCATCAGACATGAAGAAGGATTTTGTTATGCACAGACTGCCCCCTTACTATGCAGGAGATGGAACAGAGCTGTCAACACCAGGTGGAGCTTGCTGGGTTCTTCTGTGGTTAGGGCAGTGTTTTTCAATCTTTTTTATCTCACAGCACACTTGAACCTATAGTTAAACTTCTATGGCACACTTATGTTGATCAAAAACAAAAAGTAAAAAAAAATATACTTTGCTTTGAACTTTTGAAAATAATTCAATTAATGATCTTTAAAAATTTTCATGGCACGCCAGTTGAAAATTGCTGGGTTGGGGCCTAATGCAGGTTTTCCTGGGGAGGCTCCTTTGAGCAGATGGAAAATGAGCACTTTAGCATTAATGTGGCTCTAAATCCACCTTTAGCGTGGTGGCTGAGTGAGACGTGCTGTGCTCAACCTTTAGTGAGTGTCCTGCATCTCAGAAGTCATTTGCAAAGAACTGTATCTCAGTGTGATGGGAAATCAGAGCCCTCTCCTTAGGGTGAGAAGTCAGTGCATTTCTGTATACCCTGGTATTCATTATCTTCAGGAAGTTTTAAGAAATTGAAATAATCTTGTTAGAATTAAGTCAGGAATGGGTAAAATGGTTGTCATCAACAGGTGAAATATAGACTCCCCAGGGTTGTCCCTGACCTTCTCAAAGTCATAAGTAATTATTTATTACAGTGTTAGGCTACAAATGATATAGAACAAACTTGTGGATGATGTCAGTGTCCTGTAGCAGACCACCCAGAGTGTAACTCCTGAACTCAGATAAAGGTTGGACCTGCTGACTTGTTGCAGCAGGAAGACCACACACCAGTTGGGCACCTTGGTAAAATGATGTTAGGAAGGATTTATAGGATTTGGGCTTGAATTGTGTGGTTTTGGAAGAGGGTCCCAGGAAGTAGGGCTTTGCTCTGGATTGAATGCTGTGAAGAAATAGACGGGATCTATCACAAGGTCACTTCTGGAAGTATGCAGGAAGAAGGTATGATGCTAAAGTTATCAATGGTAATGCAACAGCCGTCACTCATGTTCACCAGGCTACAGGAATATGTTTGGTCATTCTTGTATTTTGGACAATGCACCTGTTCTTGCCTGAGTTCAGACTTGAGTTATGGTGGTGGTGTTTCAGTCTTGTACTATCGTGGTCACAGGAGGTCTTAGTCTAACATTGGTGTTGTGTGAAATTGTCTGTGCTCAACCAGAGAACATATGAAATTGTCTATGTTCAACCAGGACTGCTAGTCTTGCTCTAGGGCTGCTGTTCTTCCTCAGTAGGGTTAAGTAAGAGGAATAGTTTTAGTAAATTTTATAAGAGTTTTATTTGTCACCAGGTATGAACAATTGAAAAGAAGAACAATTGACAGTCTAAGAGCCCTCTAACCTTGATTCTGTAAACATTTTTATTATAGTCTTTGGAGGAAGTTTAGAATTTGTTTGGGATTGCATCTATTCAAAATAGCAAGTGTTTTACTAGCTCATGTTTTAATTTAGCAGTACAGAGTTTGCTGAATATCAATTTATGGCCCAGAATACTTCATTGAATATAATAATGGCTAAGACAGGGAAAATATTAAAAGTATCCTGCAAGACTTTTTTCCTCACTCAGATGACCCTATGTGGCTAGTCTGTTTTTAGCAGCTGCTTTTCCAATAAGTTAAATCCACTTTAGAAAATATTTTCCTGTAACCTTTATTAGATGGCTTCTATAGGAAACTGTGTTTAACCTACCTAGATAGAATAAATTGCCACGTAACACAACTAGTAATTGGTGGAGAGGTGCAGTTTTAACACAGGCAGTCCTTCCACTGTCCACGTGTAGAGGAAGCAGCTTGTAGAGGATGGAAACTAGGAATGTGTGTTCTGTGCAGAAGGCACCAGGACCCTATATCTGGTGCAACAGCTGCTGTTCTTCAATAGTATTATTTATGTCTATTAATATACTTATTAACTTGTCTTTTTTGGTAACTAATTGTATGTCCGTCTTTACTGTAAGAATGAGCTTCATACAATGTGAGCTATGCTTTTAACATCACTGTAATGTTGATATAAACAAATACTTGAGTTGGAGTGGGTGCCCATGTTTGGAATCACCTTAAATTGTTAATGATATTTTCCTATATAATTGTACATGCAAGCACGTTGGCAACTGCTGGTTCCTTTTTTTAAAGTCTTTCTCTCTTTTGGGTTTTCTAGGTGGGAAGTTACCGAGGTTGGATAGTATAGTAAGACTTCAGTTGAAAGATCACATTGTCCTCACAGTAGGGCCGGATCAGGATCCATCTGTGAGTATCCAGAAGGGAAGAGATTCCTCTCTGCTCAGGGTATTTTCATCACAGGTCTCAGGTCATCAGATTAACTGTTGGTCCCTGCCCTACTCCTTTGGGAAGCCATCTGTGTTCAGTGTAATGCCATCTTTTCAGGTCAGATAATGCCACTGTTCCAGTTCCATATTTTCCTTCCTATTGTGTATTTGAGAGTTTGCTCTCATCCCCACAGAACCCACCTTCATTCCCTTCTGTGGGTGTTAATGTCTGTTCCTTAGTTCCCATCCTACTTCAAAGCCAGGTTGCTCATGCAGGGACAGCCATAGACCCCTATTCTGAGTCTTCCTGCATTAGTCCCTCTCCAGTCCTGTACACTGCACTGATCTGTTTTTATTTGTGGGTTTGTTGATGTACTTCTCCTTGAACTCTTATGTAGATCATGAGGAACAAAACCTATACTCTGTAATCTTGCCACCTCATCCAGTGATTCCCAAAACTGATTATGAAATCAACTGGAAAGCTTTTTAAAAATTATAATTTTCTAGGCTTCATTGGTTCCTGCAGCCTCTGCATTTGTAAAGCTCCCTGTACAATCCTCAGGCCCTTGGGAACTATTATAACCATATGGCTTCACCTAGTTGCTCCTAATCAGCTCTCTTGGAAGTGTCCCATGAAAGATTGTGCGGGATGAGGGGGCACTTACATGTCTGCATGACCAGATTGGTCCAGCTGTCAGAGCCACACCTGGAGAGGACTGATTTATAATATATATAAAACCTCAGAAGCACAAACTCTGACATCTCTATTTTAAAAAAAAGTGATTTTGATACCTAGGCAGTTTGAGACATTATATGTCAGGCCAGGCTTTTTGGTCCTTATCTAGAAGGTGGTGACAAACTGCACAGTGTAGGAATGATGGGAATTAGGGACCATTCTGGGGAACTACTGTAATTAAAATGGAGTTTTTACACATCACACAGCTAGTGTATCTCAAGAGTTAATCAGTCCATGGTGTTCACAAATTGCCAGTTTTTTTGATGAAAAGACTGCTGGTGTGATTAATAGAAGAAACTGAGTGTTTCATTGGAAATTGATATATAAATCATTGCTTTATCATTAAATCAAGTTCCTGAAGAGGCTCAACTAGGTAGCACTCTGTTTTATCTTTAACATAGTGACTTAGAGTACCTTCTAATTGCCATGTACACACAGTAATCTGCAGTGACTAATGAAGTGTAGACATTGTGTGTGCACATATCATGTCTATATACCTTTTTGCCAAAAGGATTCTTTATAGTATTCAATAAATTTCACTTGAGCCTTGAGGCTTTTAAGATGACCGATAGGAAAATCCTCCTAGTGTTGAAGCCCTTCATGTTACATGGTTGATGACCTGACATTTTTTCCTCCCCCTAAAGGACAAAGCTCAAGAAAAGATGGTTTACATCTATCATTCTTTAAAGAATAGGAGAGAGACCCACATGATGGGAAATGAGGAGGAAACAGAGGTTTGTTTCAACTAAAAACAAATGTCTTTTCCTGTGATTTGGGTGGTGGCAGGAGACAATTGATATCTTTGATATATAGATAATATGCTTTTTAATGGCTGCAATGCAGACTTAACCATTTCACCCATTTGATAGAAGCCTTGCACGGGGATGATGAAGTTGGTCAGTTTGATACACTAGTTTCAAAACATGCTAGCTGGGGACCTCTAGTCTCATAAAAAAGGTATAATGTAATAAATGTAAAGCATTTGAAATGACTCGTATCACCGAGTACATAAATTAGAATGCCTTTTATGAAGTCAAGCTTTCATACAGAGTTGGTACCTTTAATAAGTTATCTAATTATAGTTTACCTAAATACCTTATCTGAACAAGTGTAACCCTGTTTTGAGAACTGTAGGACTTTCCACTTGAGTGACATATGCAGTATTTTCCTTTTGACCGATTTTTCCTTTCAGTCTCATGGACTTCGCTTTCCTTTATCACATTTGGATGCACTGAAGCAAATTTGGAGCAGTTCAGCTATTTCTGTCAAGGACCTGAAACTTACTACAGATGAGGAAAAGGAAAGCCTGGTGTTATCCCTCTGGGCAGAATGTTTAGTCCAAGTCGTCTAGTGTCTTTGCAGAAGCAAACATGTACTATTTTATATACACATGGTAGAAAAGTGAAGAGTCAGACTGGGTGGGGGAATGGCTACACTCAGGAGCCAAGAGAAGATGAATGCAAGTCTCCTTACAGGGCGTCTCTGGGCCCATGCACAAGGCCACAGGGAAGAAGTGTCCCACAAAGTGATAAAACTACACTTTTGACAAATTTATTTAATCCAGTGTGGTAAAAAAAAAAGGCACAACTTCAATAAATGTATCATTTAGAAATAAATGTCATTAACCTGGCTTTATCTTTGTTCTTTGGAAGAAACAACTTCTTTAAAGAGCTTCCTTAGCTCTAAAAAAATTTTAAACAACAGAAGAAAAAATTTTAACTGGGTTTTTTACAATTAAAATATACATACCTTTGTGTATACACAAGTACCCCCCCATTAAAATAAAGTTATTCCTATAACATAAATTTTATTAAACAATACTGCCACACCAGTGAGAGGCACTCATCACCTATGGACATAAGGGAGTTTGACATATTCTCCTTCAAAGATGACCAGGAAGAGCCTGAGACTGAAGGGGAAAAAAAACTTAATATTTACATGGAAAGACCAGGTCTATAAAAAATACCTGGAAGAGTGGGTCTTTGAGTTTAAACTATTCACTGTTACTTTACATTCTAAAGTGCACATAGGTTGATATTTTTAAAAATATCACTGGAGAATTTAATCTTTCTATATAAAAATAGAGCATTTTTCTGCTTTCTGGCAAAAGTTGGGGTTGAAAGAATAGTTGTCTCAATCCAACTGAGGAGGGAAAAATTCTTGTGAATTGTGCAGTTAAAGATGATAAAGATGATGTCCTACCTTACGTAAGTGATAGCTTCCTTAAAAACTGAATTTTCTGTCATTCAGTAGAAAAATCAATTCCACCTTTACTTAAAAAGATAGATGGTCAGATCAAAATTCAAATACAGTTGAAATTTCTTTTTCTGTCAAAGAAAAACTTTAGTGTTCTTATATTTAAGTGGCATAGTCTTTATAAATATTCCTCCTTGAGGCTGTATCAGGCAAAATTTAGGGTGAAGTCTCAGCATGCATGGTGCTAGGCAGCTATTGTTAGAGTACTGCTGCCAAATGTGTTTGTTAACACTTAAGAGTGCAAAGTTGGCCATTTTTGTTAAGGACCAAGGAAGGAATGGCCACAGAAAACACTCTAACACTTGTGGTCTTTTTCCTAACAAAGTTGAGTCCCTCCCTGGGGTTAGTTACAAGTATATGTTTTTAAAGGATGCTCTAGTTATAAAAGCCTCAATATAAAAACTTTAAGGTTTATCTAATACAGCAGCTTAATAAAAAGTTTTATTATATACATTTTCAGATGTTGCTAAAAAATTATTCATCTTTTTTTTTGCAACAGACTTTTCCTTGACCTATGGGAAGGAACCTGTTTCCCAGTGCCTTGCATTCATATAGGCATCTAGTAGGCTATTAATCACTAATACAGGGTGACAGCATCACCATTGTCAGGGATGGGACCCTCTCATGTCTGGTGGATAGGAGAGAAAACAAACTTCAGGAAACTTGCTCACCACACTTGGAGATCAATCAGGAATAGAACCTTTCCCAGAAATCACAAGATTTTCTCCATAGGAATATCGAGTAACTGGCAAGAATGTTTTTACCTTTCCCATGGTTAAAAGCAATAGTCACAGAGCTTGGGGAGAAAGCCCTTTCTGCTCTAATTCGGGAGAGTGAGGGCAGTAGCTTCCTCTTCACCTGTACAAGGGATGTGGATCTCTGTCTTCCTCTGCCCTTTCTAGGGGCATAGTGAATTCTCTCACAATATTTCAATGTCCCATTTCTGTGTTTCTTCTCCCTCCAGGGGCTGGTTTACAATTACATGAGTCTTGTCACAGTAATTTCCTCCTGAAATAGAAATTCCAAAAGAAAGGATTATTTGGTTCACGCAGGTACTTAGCAGTTTTACAATTTTCACAAGCTTTTGTTCAGCTCACTGTTTGGGTAGATTACTATGTCATTTACAAAGCTGTCTAAAATAGGAAACTGAATTGCAATAGGCTTAGCCATAATTCACCTCAAACTGGACCTTATTATGACTTGAATTGAAAAACCAAAGGTTTTTTAGGTCTTTGAACAATGTGATTCTTCAGAACAAAGTACTCTGAGAATTCTGGCTAAATGTCCGGTACTGTGTTTTTGTTTATACACAAACAGTAACTGACTAATCCAGTTAAAGCAACATCCATGTATAATATTGGCCCTGACCTGGCTGAATTCAAAAGCAAGGTTCATTGATACCTATGGTAAATTTTGGCTGAGAGCTTTTAAGGGCCATGGCAATTCACAGCAAAAAGTTCGAGATGTTTATAGATGACATTCGTTTTAAGGCTTATGAGGCTTCAAGCTTAGAAGTTCAGTTCATAAAGCAAAGTTTTACAACTGTACTAATGAATAAATACCTTCTTAAACTTTGTTACAAGGCTTTTCCTGTTTGATCCATATAGCTAATTGTTTTGTTCATATGCTATCTTAACTTCTTTCAAACATAATTAAGAATGACTCTGAGTGTCAGGATGACTGAGTGGTCTCAGGTGTCACATTCAAGAATGACTTAACATTTCTCTTTTACCTGAGGATATCCTTTACCCAGAAGAGAGAGATTGAGAACTGAAACTGATATCCAGGGACAAAAAACATTGGGTATCACCAAAGGCCCACCTTTAACATCAAGAACAAGTTGATCACTGAGATAAGAGCTGATTGTTCCATTTCTGTTCAATCTCCACTTCTGCCTCAGTTGCCCATGTTCAGTCCATAGGGCTACTTTAGCTCCAGGTGTGTCCCGGCCACCAATCACATCAAGGCATGTACAACTGGCCTAAAAGGGGTAAGAAATAATTAGCTGTCAGTACTGTGTTTGCTAAAATGAATGCAATTGGGTACTTTTCTCTTCAGGTGAACAAATCACAGACAGGAAGTGGCTATATTTTATCTAAAAAAAAACATTATACCAATTTCAATAAACCTTTGCCGTAAGTCTTTATGGCCAGGGAAGAGATGGTATAGAAATAACCTACTGAAAGGCAAGAACAAGTTTTTAATAGGATGTGTGCATCTGACGACATGTTCAGTAAAGGTTTATTGAATCAGAATTAAATGTTACATCCTTGTTTGTTTAAAATGTATTTTTTTTTTTTTGAGACAGAGCCTCAAGCTGTCTCCCTGGGTAGAGTGCTGTGGCATCACAGCTCACAGTAACCTCCAAATCCTGGGCTCAAGCAAGTCTCCTGCCTCAGCCTCCCAAGTAGCTGGGACCACAGGCGCCCGCCACAATGCCCGGCGATTTTTTTTGGTTGTAGCTGTCATTGTTTCAGCGGGCCCAAGTTGAATTCAAACCCGCCACCTTAGGTGTATGTGGCTGGCACCTTAGCCACTTGAGCCACAGGCGCCGAGCCGTTTAAAATGTATTATGTTGAGTTTTGTTATCTTATAAAAACTCTGGGTGGTATCCAGGCAATAATTTTAAATGCTTTTCATTTTTAAAGCATGAGGAAAAGTAGATAATCCATTGGTTTTACAAGAAAACACAGTTTTAATGTTTTTAAGCTACTGCACCATCCTCCTTAGCATTAAACATAATGGAGGTCACAGAAAAAGAAAAAAACCCTAAATTTTATTTTCTAAGCTTCCTTCAATTATACCTTTTTTCTTATATTAATACTTCACTGTATATTTTGAAAATGAAAGGGTTTCCACAGATATGGAATCACACAGACAGCTAATTTTACCTGCGCCGTCAAGCAAGGAATACCTTGGGAAAGCACATTGTCCACTTTAGATCCAGTGACTTCCATCACTGGTTTAAAATAATCACTCAGATGTGTCCGAAGTATGTGATAATCCTAGTTTTTACCTAAAAATTAAAACTGGATTTTTTAGGTCAAAAAAGTTCTCTAAGTCTGCTTTACTTAAATGCTTTAGTAAAATACATGGCAGTATTTTTATGATCATGCAATGAACTGTTTCTAAGAAGCTGCATTATTTTATCATTCTAGTTGACTCAACAAGATTCTTTCTTTCTAAAAGAAGAAACCAAAGACCAGAAAGCACTGTGTCAGGGGGGTAGTTTACCTTGGATTTAAAAAGTCCTCGACAGTAGTGCCAGATCTGAGTATTCTTTCCATTGTAAGGAGAGACGCATACCGACGTTGCCCTTGTGTCTGCCAGATTTCCAGTGACTGTCAGATACTCATCCTGGGCCCGGTTCTTTATTCTGATGTACACTGCGGGCTATGATGGGAGGAACAGAGCCATTTACACATAAACTTTTGAATCTGGAAAGCAACGCCTCCAAAGCAGGAAAGCTGGGAGGGGGAGTGAGAGGCGACTAGCTTATTTGCATCAGTTTCACTCTTATTCCCTTTAGCAGAAATGTTATAAATTAAGACATATTTTCCATTGATAAATACTTAAAGTATACAACACAAGGCTTAAATGGTACATTTTCTATTATACTTTCAGAAAAGATCCCTTTGGTAATGATTTGGTTAATTAAACAGTGTATGGCAATGGGCGAGGTGGGTGGTGCATCCCAGCTGGGCTGAAGGGGCTAGGGCGGTGAGTGGGAACCAGGGCAAGATACTACCTAGAAGGATCTTACGACTTCACAAACACAAGTACAGTAAGCAGACATGCTATCTTGAGCTATGCTTAAATGCCAAAAGTCAGCTTTTAGGGGATTCCTGAGAAAACCCAGATAGCTGAGGGACCTAGCACTGTGGTAATCTCTTTGTTTACATAAGACCTTTATATTTCTGCAAAGGAAGGGACTATGTACGCTTAATCACTACTGAGCTATTCAAAAATTAAGTAAAACAAACGACTTAATTCTCTTGGCCTGGAAGCTTTAAAATATACAGGAAGTTTTAAATATTAATCTGGGACTTGCCTCTAAGGATAATAGCTAATATTTATTGAGTGTTTAGTATATGTCAAACACCATGCTAAATGCTTCATGTGCCATTATATTATTTGTTAGAATAACCAGAACAACCTTCAAGAAAGTTAAGAAGATCCTAGTTTCCTGAATAAGGTGAACAAAGATGTAGAGAAGCCACAGCTGTCTGCACCACAACCCTTGCTCTTAACCAGATGCCCTTGGCCCATGCTGGCATGCACTAGTTACTCTTAGGCACAGGAAGTGAGAGACCGACTCCAAAGATGGCAGTGTATGATAATGAAAGGGTCAGGCACATGTTCAAGCTCCCCAGGAACCATTCTTTTGGTCTCATGACTTAGATGTGTAGCCTGAATTTAATAAAATATAGTATACCCAACATCATCACCTTCCTCTGGGTGTT